AGAATCAGCTGTCTTGAATTCCATGTCTTCAATTATATTTGTAACTTCAAAAATGTTATCAACGCTTGATACCTCCAGAAACATTCTATGCCAAAGTTGCTTACATAGGCCATTAGCAATCACTGCATAAGATTTCAAAGTCAACGCAAGAGCAAATTAAAGCTCCATGTTGTACTTCTACAGTTTCTTCGCATGGAAAGAAAGGACAATAATCACAAAACATATGGTTATCTTCTTCATGCATAGTTGACAGATCAACTAGGAGTAACAACTAGATATCTATAATTACAAGAAATTTTAATGCAAATGTCTCCTTTCACCCAACAAATTTTTTTTTTTCACATTTTCATACTCCACAGATAAGATACAATCCCTAGTTTTATACAAGTAAATGTAGCAGACTTGTTTTCATGCACAAGAAGCACTTCTCATATCGTTGTCATTATTTTTGACAATATTATTTCCATTATTAACTTTGTCTATGTTTTTCAGAGCCAGTTCAAATTCCCATACGAGGAGGAGGGTTGCAATAAGTTGGCAGCTAATGTCAAGCCTCATTATGTGAATCCTAATACACATTTCGTTTGTTTTTTACTCGTCATAATACCCATTATTCTATGGAACATCCTCTTCTGGCGCACTCCTTATGTTGCATTCATTGAGGCCTAAACGACACTCATAAAAGCAATATCAATCTCATAGGCAAGTGAGCCTTCAACGACCGAAAAACATAATTCTCTTTCAAATAAATCTATAAAAAGCAATAGAAAAGTTCATCGAGTACAAGGGCAATAATCGAGGCGATCAAACTCACCAAATTCATGCCACGAAATTGAGACAGTTCTGACTCGAATAAGATCAGAGGGGTCATCCTAACACATCATGATCTTCATTGACAAATCTAGTCCAAGCAATTCTACAAAATCGCTGCTACCCTTCATTTTCTCTTTGATTTTTGTATTTGACTAAATTTTCCTTCGATTAACGAAACTTAATCATAATTGGCACAAATACAAGAATAGTTGAGTACATAAACAAGATTCTTTAAAGAAAACCTAGAATTTAATTCCTGAATTTAGTAAAATTAAATAATCAAAACATTAGAAACCCAGAAATCATAGTCATTTTGTTGATGTCGTACACACGCGTGCAAAAAGTACCTTTACAGAGAGAGAAGAGATCTAAAGCAAAGACCAAGAAGAGGAAAATATATATGGAAGTACTCACGATTACAAGAGGAAAATATATATGGAAAATATATATGGAACTACCAGAGATTTTGTTCTTTCCGTACAGGTATTTTATCAAAATGATGAAGAAAAGGATAAAAGTACAAGGAATTATTTCTTCGGAGAAATTTCAGGATACTTTTTATAATATTATGGATTAAATTAAAAAGATGATTGTTTAACACACTTCTTTGTATGTTAAAGTTGGTTTTTATTAAAAGTGCGTTTGGGCGGGATTCCTTGTTTTGGAGAATTGATTTTTACATCAAATCAATATGGTCCACCATTACACAAGTGTGCAATTCTATGCTTAAAAATGTAATGGAATCACCATTCTACCCTTCCATGGGCAATATGAAAATTGATTTTGAAGTCAATATCAGGGTGGCCCACCATTGGAAAGTGTTCCATTTTCATGAATTTTGAATGTAATATATTCACCACTTTTTACTCATTTTTGCTGTCATGTACGTTTGTGCCATAAAATTGGTTATCACTTCGATATGTTCAATTACAGGTTGTCTTATTGGGCATAACCTTTTGTAAATGTTGTGTACTCATTGTACTAAATGGTCACATGCGTAGAAATTGAAACAATACAAACACAAATATGCCTTACAACAGTAAATCGAGTTTGACAAATTTTTTTTTTTCATTTCCAAATTTCCGAATACGACAAACAATGCAAACAATGACCTATGTCATCAACGATGTAATTATAATTTTTCTTCATTCAAATAAACACTCATTATCATTGTTGTTATGCCAAATAATCGCAAAAACGATCCTACTCATTTCGTGGCATTTCCAGTGCGTTTATTCAGCTGTGTTTCTTCATGTTCCTCCAGAAGCTCCACCTCTGCAGCATCGGGATCTATCTCTACTCTCATAAAGGCTCGTCGACCACGCCAGCCCGTCGAAGAAAGTCATGAATACCCATAGTTGCCATTACAACATCAGTCTGTACTTTAAAATTATAGCTCGGTATACGATCGAGAATTTTCCAAACTCCGAATGCGCATTCAATTACATTTCTACAAGACGAGTGTCTGAAATTAAACTTGTCACGCGCATTTTGAAATTTACGCCTACGTCCGATGTCCCTATCATAAAATTGTTGGAAATTGTACAATATGTCAGACCCCTTATAAGGAGCCACGTACCTAGGTTGATGGGCAAATCCCGAATTAACCAAATAATATTTTCTCACTACTGGTTGTGGAAAATCAATATCAGGACTGTGTATAGCACGACCCAAGATAAAATGTAAAACACAAGTTAAAATCACATGCCACAAGGACATTTTGCGTAGGAATTCCTTTGCGTATAATAAAGTTCACTCCTTCATTGCATGGGAGGACTGCTCTGACGTGCGTGCCGTCAATTGAGTTTTCAAAGGGCTCTCGAAACCACCTAAAATGTAAGTAATAATTTTATAATTGAAAGAACTCTCTTAACAAATGATATAATCAAGTCAAAGAGAGTTAGGATAACACTTCAATAGATAGCAAATAGTAAAGTTTAAGTGTTTTTGTTGTAAATTCTGATGAATGATGGATAATGAAATAGTTTGTATCTTTGTATCAAAGTTTCCAACCAATTA